ACAATGAAAATATAATAATTTCAAAAACACTTGACACATACATAATAAAGGTGCCCTGAAGTGTTTGTCAGTTTTCAGGACTCCATCATATTAATTTGTAACAGAACATTGACTTCTAAATTGATGGTAAAAAAAAGTCATTGCAAGAACTATTGCTCCAGGAACATATTCTCTTATTAAAAAGGGGAGAGGGGTTTATTGTGTTAAACTTGCCATTCTATGTTGCACAGAAAAGTACAAGTTATAAAGAAGATGCTGAGATCTTTCAAAGAGTGTTGGTAAATGTCTTGTATTAAGCAATTTTTTAGAGAATAATCTTAAGTTACAGAAGTTTTAGAGTTATTTTCATTTTTTTTTAAAAAAACCTTTTGTTTGAAACAATTGAAAATTAAAGAAAAGGGAGAAGTATATTAGAGAGAACCCTAAACACTTTAATCAGATTCACCACTTTTTAACATTTTTCTACACTTTAATATTTATTCCATAACTATACCCACATTTAGATCTATGTACTAGTATATTTAATTACTTTCTCTGGATATTTAATCATAAGTTGTATACAATATGCCCCTTTACCATCGAATATTTCAGCAGATTTCTCTACAAGAATGAAAACTTTAAGTGCCATGGATCACAAAAGCCTACCTCTCCCAATGGTTACAACTATAAATTCTGATCAGAATACAAAAAACCTACTACCTGGGACTCTGAAAAAGTAAACAATAACTAGCAGGTAAAAGAGCCGATCATAACTTGAGGAACAATCAACACCAGTACATTTCCTGAGTTTGTTTTTCCCCTCCTGTATTTCCCAATTTTGGCCCAAGGAAGAGCCAGTAAGTAGCTAGAGTTTTGGAACTTGTGTAGTGGATGCAAGTGAAACATGAGGTTCAGGGTACAGATTTTTCCCATGGATCCTTGTCCTCACGAAGTTTGAAGAATAAACTCGAGAACAAAAAGGCTTCTTTAATAAAAAATGTAGAAGTTTATTGGAAGCAGATACAAACTCCATCTGGGCAGGGGTGTTCCCAAAGGGGACCCCCTGGGGAGGGACCCCCAAATGGGAAAAGCCTGCTCTCTCTCAATCTAAAAAAAGTGTCTCGTGTCCTGTCCCTTTGTCTCTGGTTTATATACTAGTATGCTGTAATTCTTTGTCTGACCCTTTCTAATTGGACCCTTCCTTGATTTAGGACCCCTGTGCTTTCCTCATTGGTCATTCTGCTACATGGTATTAGTTTCAAAGCTCCAAGCCCACATGGTGCCCCCTGCCTTCTCTCCCCTTATCTTGCAACATTCCTTTATCCTTTGTACAAGTAAGATAAGCATTTTGGCATCTCTAAGCCCCCATCTATGTTTTCCTCTCCCATGGACCCTCTCTCAGTTATTCTGGCCAGATATGTTTTATTATCCATTAGGTCAGGGCTGCTTTAGATCTAACTTATGGCTGCTTTAATTGTTCATGCCAGAAATGCCTCCATCCTTCCCCACTTCCTGTCTTAAACTAGCTAGTTAACCCTTTTCACAAACAGAAAAAACTTTGAGGCAAACTTTCTCTTTCTGGCCATAGGGCCAGAAAAAGTAGAGTTTAAGGTGAATTCCTTTTCTTCTATTTCTTTCTTTTTTCTTTTCTAGCCCTGCTGCAGGGTTGAGCCATCGCAGAGATGTATGGCTGCTACAGTATTGGAAGTAGAGTCATGAGCATATAAAATCCCAAAGTCAAACCTTCATCTATTGCCAGATAACACCCCCCCCAAAAAAAGGGGATCACTGTTGTTCAAAGAGTGTATGTTGTGAAATTTCTAATGTTTTCTTTCACAGCTTTCCCTGAAGGCAACACACAATCAGTTAAAAATAATAGCTCAGGGGGCTAGACCTCTGAAGAAAGTCTAACTATCAAGTCAGAGGAACTGGGAAAGGGTTTGTTAGAAAGAAATTATAGGTGAAGTCTTGGAGAGGACAGAACTAGTGACCAAATCCCATAATTATATGTATAACCCAACACAAGTATTAGACTGACCCCAATCTGAACATGTGTAGAACAGGCCCACAAAGGATCGGAAAGATTTTGAGAGCCACTGCCAATCCCTGAAAACTGTGAATGGCATAGATGGATCCAGGGGTCCTCAAACTTTTTAAACAGGGGGCCAGTTCACTGTCCCTCAGACTGTTGGAGGGCCGGAATATAGTTTAAAAAAAAAACTATGAACAAATTCCTATGCACACTGCACATATCTTATTTTGAAGTAAAAAAAACAAAACGGGAACAAATACAATATTTGTATTTGCATGTGGCCCGCGGGCCGTAGTTTGAGGACCTCTGGTAAGCACCAAATTTATCTGGCAAAGGAATCACTGCTGGCAGAAGGCAAGAAAAAACTTGAAGCTGAACCTATGTAGGTCAATTGCCTGTTAAAACAACTGCAGCACGAGCAGTAAATTAACCTTTTCCAGAGGATTATATAGGATCCAGATTCTCATAATCACATAGTCTGTGCATGTATCCAAGATGCAATCCAAAATTACTTGACATAAAAAGACCCAGAACAAAATGACCTATAAACATGACCAAGTCTCAAGGGAAAAAAATCAACAGATAACAACCCTAAAATCACTCACATGTGGGAATTATCACACATCGACTATAAAGCACCCAGCTGACCATGAAAGGAATTTGGGAGTCACCCCCATGTCCTAACAACTAACAAATACCTGAACAGACTGAAAAATCAACACTTTCTGAATCCCTAAGAGAGAAAAGGATACAGGACAAACCGCTGTCTCTCAAGAGTCAGACAGGAGAACACAGGGGATTGTGGCTTCAAGGAGCAGATTCATAACAGAAAACCACTACAAGAACCAGCGCCTGGATAGGGAATCTCAACTGTAATTGAAGAATTGATGGAGGTTCAGTGTGGAAAACTCTGAAAGTTACAAAATCCAGAGGTCCCAGTCATGGTGGGGAAGGGACCCACAATATTATAAGATTTAGTTCCAGAATCTCAACCCGATTCCTACAGTATGTATTGGAGAAAAATCCCCTTGGGCTTCTGGCAGGGAGAGTGAGAAAGGAATCATTGTGAAATATCATGAAATGTGCTCAATAACAGAATGATGATAACGTAGAAAAACGTCTTTGACTTTGAAGAGAACCCAATATAAATTATACAATTCAATATAGGTAAAATACTACCAAAAAAATCAAGGCTTGGGACTTATTCAATAAGAAAGAGAGTATTATTCATATTATTGGAATCCCAGAAGAAGAGAAGAGATTGGTGAAAAAAATTAAGTATTATAATAACTTTCTAAATGTGATGGAAGACATTAAATCAAAATAGAATAAATACAAACAACACCATGCCAGACATATCATAATTAAACCACTGAAAATCAAAGGTGATGAAAAAATATCTTAATTTATTACATGTAAAAAAAGCAATGTTACTGACATAATGACATTTTAAAAAATTTCTTTTTACCAATCTGTGGAGGCTTTAAGACTATGGAACAATATTTTTAGAATGCTGAATGAATAGAAACTGACAGTGCAGAATTCTTTATCCATTAAAACATTTTCTAAGAATAAAGGTGAACTAAAAGCTTCCTTACATGAAGTAAAACTATGAATTTGCTTGTCCGCAGACCTGTTTAAAACAAATGTTAATGGAAATTCTTCAAGCTGAAGGAAAATGGTATCAGAGGTAAACTTTGAACTCCAGGAATGAAGAAAGGGCAACAAATATAGAAAATACGAAGGAAAATATGAAGGACATTGCTTTCTTTTATGTCCTTTAAAATATGTATGACAGATGAAAGGAAAAATGATACCATTTTTGATGTGATTTTCTATGTGTTTAGATGAATACATGTGAAAACTATAGTGTAAGAAGAGTAAAGAAAACTAAAAACAAGAGCATACTTTTTATAACCACTGTATTGGCACAAATTCAGAAAAGTCAACTGTGATAAAATGCTTTTATCTAACTCACATTTTGCTATTTTACTAATTATCATAATATATTTTATAACACTTTCACTTTTTTCTACAGGATCTCACTCAGGATCCACATGTTGCATTTAGAGTCGGTTTTTAATTTCCTGTTATCTGGAAGAATTTCTTTGCATTTTATAATGTTAATGGCTTGAAGGATATTGGTCAATTATTTTAGAGAATGTTCTTCAATATGGTTCTTTCTGATATCTCTTCGTGATTAAGATTCAAATTATGCAATCCCAGCTGCTGGAATACTACACATACTGTGAGCTTTAGAGGACCTCCCATTTGGACACACACAGTGTCTGTCTGCCCCTTATTGGTGATGTTAATTTTGATCCCCGATTAGACTGTTGGCTAGTTTTCCTATTGAATAGTTATTATTTCTGATTTACAACTAATAACCAATGTGTAGGCAGATCCTCTGAGATTATGCAAATACTGTGATCTTCATTACATATTGCCCTTTAGACATGTGTATGCTTTAATTCAGGTGAATTTATTGTCAACAGAATTACCCTAGACTTAACACTCACTCGTGATTCTTGAAATCTTTAGAATTATAATTGCTAAATGATAATTTTTCAACTCTGCCATTTCTGTATTTTCAAACATCATTCTATTGTAAAAAGGAACATTTATTTTCTCTAGCTAGCTAGCTAGTTTTTTACTGTGAATACAAATTTTCTTTACTTTAAAAAAATTCTTATTTTCTGGCATTACAAGAAATCCCAGGCTCATCTTGGACCTTCCTTGCTTTAGGCCTGGAATTAGCCATTTCTCCAAGGGCCTCTGCTTCTTTATGATGGTAAATGGCACTTATAAAACAAGATTTATGTGCTACATCTACTCTTTATTATTAGGGCATCGTTATTTCTAGGTGCTTTCAGTGGACAGAGCTAAGGTATATTTACAGGGGTTTTGATTGTTTTGCTTTGTTTCTCTATCCAAAATCACAAATTTGCTTTACTTTAAAAAAAATTCTTATTTTCTGGCATAACAAGAAATCCCAGGCTCATCTTGGACCTTCCCTGCTTTAGGCCTGGAATTAGCCATTTCTCCAAGGGCCTCTGGTTCTTTATGATGGTAAATGGCACTTATAAAACAAGATTTATGTGCTACATCTACTCTTTATTATTAGGGCATCGTTATTTCTAGGTGCTTTCAGTGGACAGAGCTAAGGTATATTTACAGGGGTTTTGATTGTTTTGCTTTGTTTCTCTATCCAAAATGTTGTTTAATGGTTGAATTAGTTCTTCCCTCTACTCATAGTTTGGTTTACTTGCTCCTGCTTACATTCTATTTTAGAATCTTTTCTATCTTTCCTAATTTAACTTTGAATGTTTAGAATATGAACATTCTTCAAAAATTAATAAAAAATACTCAGAAAAATGTTGCTCTCTTTCCTACCTATCTCATCCATTTGTCCCTAACTGGTTCACAGGGTCTAGTTATCCATCAGCGGGGTTACCTTTTAAAAAAATAAGTAGATTCATGTAGGTTGGTTTTCTTATTTCTCCTTCTTTCATACAAAAAATGGAAAAATACCAGATATTTTTATATATTCAAGCACTTTCCTCTTTTTAAATATATTCCATTCATTCCAATCAGTTTATATATGCCTTGTTTTGTGTGTTTTCTATAGCTGAACAGTACTCCTTTGGGTGTATGTACCATAGTTTATTGAACCATTCTTCGATATTTGGACATGTAAGTGGTTTATAATATTCTGCAATTAACAATAATGCTTTGATGAATAAGTTTGAGCAGAGCCAGTTTTGTATTGTTGGAGGTGTACCTTTAGAACTAATTTCCAGAAAAGAGATTGCTGCATCAGAGTGTAAATGCGTACATAGACTTTAGACATTGCCAAATTCCTTTCCATAGTGGTTGTATTATTTTACACTCTCACAAGCAATGAATGAGAGTGACTGTTTCCCAGCAGCTTCACTAACATTGCCAACAGAATATATAGTTAAGCTTTTCAATTTTGCTCATATCTCTTATAAATGAAAATGAAGTTAATATATTTAAATATTTCAAGATTCTGTGTGTGAATATGTGTACTATGTGTTTATCTATATATTAGCAAAGAATCACCAAAGTTCTAGAATATTCCTGGGTGCCATGAAACTAACTCTGTACTTTGTCATGTGAACTCTATCAGTAATCCTATATAATTAAAGGCTAATATGCAAAGTGCCCCCTCGGGAGTTCCACCGGGAGACCAGGAGTTCAATTGCTCACTTTGACGTGCACTGACCACCAGGGGGTGGCGTGGAACTAGGGAAGACCCCGATCGACCCTAATCACCAGTCAGGCCTAGGGACCCTTCCCCTTGCACAAATTTCATGTGCTGGACCTCTAGTAGTGGATAATAATGTGTTTATTTATGTCATCTGCTCATTTTTCTATTAGGTTTGTTTTTATCTCTAATTGTTTTTAATATATGAGTACATTTACTCTGTATCATTGATGCATTTTGCAAATATTTTCTTTTGGTTTGTTATTTGCCTTTTGATTTTGCTTATGATGTACATTTTTCCCATGTAAATTTTAATAAATCTATTAAAATATTTATACAACTTTACATATTTACCTTTTCATTATATAAATACCTACATGGTCTAAACTAACAATCTTTTATTTTATTGAATACAAATTTTGATATCTACTTAGAAAGCCTTTCCTTATACTCATAAAGCAACTCATTCAGGTTTTCTTTAGTACTTGAACAGTTTTATATTTTACAATTAAAACTCTGATTCATTTGGATTGTTTGTGTGTGTATATACTAGTATGTATGTTTCACAGAAATTATTTATTTTTTAAAATGTTGAATTATCCCAACACAATGCAGTTAAAAGCTCATCTTTGTTCCGATGATTTGAGATGCTGTTGTATCATACATACTAGGGTGTATTTCTGGACTTTCTATTATATACCACATATCTATTTGTTTATTTATATGCAGTACCACATATTCTAATTACATAAGTTTGAATATATTTCACAAATTGTAAAATCTAGTTCCTCTTCAGAGCTCTTCCTTTACGGTGGTGTCCTAGATATTTTCTAAAACATATTTTTGTTGGTTTCAGATAGGAAGGGAGAAGGAGAGAGATAGAAATATCAATGATGAGAAAGAATCATTGATGGACTGCCTTCTGCACACCCCCTACTGGGGATCCAACTCTCAACCCCCGGCATGTGCCCTGAACACAGCCTCCTGGTTCATAGGTTGATGCTCAGCCACAGCAACACCAGCCAGGCCTAGCTATTTTTATGTGTCTGTTTTTCCTTATTAATTTGACCAGCTCCAGAAAAAAACTTAATGGTCCTTTTATTGGTGTCACATTAAATTTATAAGTTAACTTTAGGAGAATTTATATCTTGATGCTGTTGAAATATTTAAAGAGATAACTTTTGTTCAATTCTACCTTTGTGAAATTCCAGAGTATTACTGTATATATATATATATTTGCATATGTTCAGATATTTTATGTAAAATTCACTTCTGGAGCTGTCAATGCTTGGGATTGGGGCTGTTTCAATAGGTGAGGTGGTATCTTGCTTAAATTTGCATTTCCCTGATGACATATGTTGTGGAACATCTTTTCATATGCTTACTTGCCATCTGAAATATTCTTAAAGAGATGCCTGTTAAAGTGTTAGGCCCATCTTTTAATTGGGTAATGTCCTTGTTGTTGGCTGAAGAATTATTTGTAGGTTTTGGATAAAAGTCCTTTATTAGATGTGTCTTTTGCAAACATTTCTCCTAATCTGTGGCTTCTTTTGTAATCCTATTGGCATTATTTTTTGCAGAACAAAATTTTTTAATTTTAATGAAGTCCGACTTATCAATTATTTCTTCAAAAGACCATGCTTTTGCTATGGTAGCTAAAAAGGAATAACCATACCCAAGGTCATCTATCTTTTCTCCTATGTTATCCTCTAATAGTTTTATATGTTTGCATTTTACATTTAGGTATGATCTATTTTGAATTTATTTATGTGATGTTTGTAAAGTCTGTGTCTAGAATTAGTTTTTTGCATGTGGTGTCCAGTTGTTCCAGCACCATTTGTTGAAAATGCTGTCTTAGCCCCACTGTATTGCCTTTGCTCCTTTGTTAATGAGTAATTCAATTTTGAAAGAAAATTTGATCCTGGGCCACTCTGTTTGAAGACTACCCTGAGATTGCAAGGTATCATATTTTAAGTTTTTTAAGAAAAATAGTTGGAGAAAGCAGTATATTTCTAATGTCACTCAACTAAAAGAAAATGTAACCACGTACTGGGACTTATTAATAAAATTTGAAACTACAACTTACAACCATGGATTTAAAATGGCTGGAACATTAAATCATTCTTACTGATATCACAGTTTATCTAAAAGAATTAATTATTCTGAAATTGAACTTAGAAAATAAGGGAATACAAATGAAATTCCTCTTATAACTTTTCATAAATTACATTTTGCATAATGTTTTATTTGACAATGGGTATAATAAAATGTTTCAAAACACACATATGATTAACATGACAGATCTCTTTTAAAACTTTATTTTTTCTCTCTCCCAGGAGAACATTGAATCTCTATTCCTATAATTGTAGAATATTTTCCTAGTTAAATGCACTAAAGATGTAATCTAAACCATTTTCTCAATTTTTACGTAGAACTAATCCAGAAGAATCCTTTTAAAAGCTGAAATGTATCATTTGTGGTGTGTGTGTGTATGTGTGTGTGTGTGTGTGTGTGTGTGTGTTTTATCACTCATTCAAATAAAGATGGAAGTAAAGTCCCTAATCTATCCATTTTATACAATTGTCTCAGAAAAAAAAAACATTTTTAATGAATTTCATAGAAATAGGAAAAAATCAGCAAATCTACTTTTTTCTTCTCACTGTCATCTTGTACCAAGTTGACAATTGTTTTTGCAAACAAGAAACAATATTTACAATCCTTTAACATATCCTCATATAGCTGATTAAAAAGCCATGTCTTCCCTGGATAGCTCTATTAGCAGGGTCAAGGTATGAAAGAAGATGAATTATGGGAAACATTTCATTCCATGAAGATATTCAGCATTTGGGACTCTAACAGGTTTAAATGACAGCACAAATTTCATTATCACTGAAATTTCCCCCTCCAATGGAGATACATTTTCTTTGTTCTTCATCTTTCTTCATACATACTCCTTGCTCTCTTAAAACAAGCAAATAAATAACACCAAAAATATCACAAAAAGTCAAAATATACTTGTCTGTTGTCCCTAATATCTATCTTTTTCTTCTTCCTGTATCTAGAAAATGAAGGGAAAATAAGAGGGACATCTTATTTTTCCTGGAAAAGTGAACAATTCTATCAGACTGCTGCTTTGGAAGGGAAAATTACTCAGCTGTTTCTGCTTTATATGCAGCACTTGGAAAATGGAATGAAGGATATGAAGTGAGGTATCTTCAGACTCTCCTCTCAATTTGTTCAGATTCCCAAGGGATCTGACTCACATGAATCCAGTGACCATGTTGAAACCTGGAACCACACTTACTAACAAGTCTCCCCCATCATCCTTGATGATTATCTTTCCTTTGCCACCATCAGTTTAGAATAGGGATTTTCTTAACCCCAAAGACTGTTTTAGGGACATAAAATGCTTCCCTTTCTTTCTTACAGTTACCCCTTTGAAGTATCTTCTGCAAAGTATATTGAATCTTCTGCTTACATTAAAGAATGTTTACTTTCAATGTATGGAGATCTATGATGACAAACAATGTCAAATAGGAAAATTGAACTCAGCTTTCCTAACTGAAGCAATAGCTCATGTATTTGCTTCCTACAAATGTGCATAGAGATCTAGTCAGTATCACAGACCTCCACTTTCCCCTACAAACCCCAGCGCCCCCTTTTCAGGTTGTTTATACTTTCTAGAATTCAGTGTTCTCTTCCTTCTTATTATCCTGTTTTAGAGGAAGCAAGATCATTTCTGGCCTGGTTCCCAGGTGTGACCCTGCTAATATTAAGTCAAATTTTCTTTTTTCTTCTTCAGGAGGATGTGAAATGTATAGAATAATTTAATATTTTGCCAAAAACATACATATTACATGTCATATCATATATCATATCATATTTCTTACCAGGAGATTCTCAGATTAGTTTCCAAAGAGGTAACTTTGATTGTAAGTACCGTAACTACAATAAAATAATATAGTGATGATGAAAGTAGAGTGGAATTAACTATATTGTTCAAATACTAACCAAAAGTTAGTTGCATTGGACAAAATATAAAACAAAGGAAAAGTTATTAATAGGAACTTAGGTGACATATCATATTAATAAAAAAGAAATAAGTATTGCCGAAACCGGTTTGGCTCAGTGGATAGAGCATCGGCCTGCGGACTGAAGGGTCCCAGGTTCGATTCCGGTCAAGGGCATGTACCTAGGTTTCGGGCACATCCCCGGTGGGGGATGTGCGGGAGGCAGCTGATCGATGTTTCTCTCTCATCGATGTTTCTAACTCTCTATCTCTCTCCCTTCCTCTCTGTGAAAAATCAATAAAATATATTTTAAAAAAAAGAAATAAGTATTATATAAAACATGCACTACACATTCTTAAACTACAAAGGAAATCTTCACAACTTTTTTAAAAAATTATTTCATAGAGTCCATGTTCACTGACAATTCAGTAAAATTAGGCTTCAAAATAAAATGTTGGCTAATATATAATATTTGGAAACTAAAAAAAAATCAATTTTAGATTATTTAGCTTAGTGCTTTCCCCACATTTCACTCCTGTTCTTTCCAGACTACGTTGTAGCAACTTGAGATTCTTGAGCACCACCTTATGCTTGATCTCTGCCTTCGGATTCTAGGAGGAACTGCAGCCTGTGACGACTTGCAATGGATTCACCAACAGAGCTCGACGTCCCCTCCACTGGGTCATTTTCGCAAATGTCCGATGAAGAAGATTCAGGAAAACCTTCACCCCAACAGAAGGACAAAGAAGAAGAATGAAAAGGGTATGAACTGACGCTGAGTTATGGCCTGGTCTACAGGCCGAGATGTGGAGTGAGGACAATAGCAAGTCTTAAAAGAGACCTCAAAGAACTGTTTCCAACATGGCTGAGGAGGAGGAATGAGGCTATTCAAAATCGCAAGAAGAATAGGAATGAACCAGTACTTCAGTGTGACTGTTGTCATTGCCTATCACATCCAGGTCCTTCTGGTATTGCTAAAAATTATGACATGGTTTTGGCTGGCTTGCCTCAGTGGATAGAGCATCATCCTGTGGACTGATGGGTCCTGGGTTCAATTCCGGTCAAGGGCACATGCCTGGGTTACAAGCTCAATCCCCAGTGGGGAGCATACAGGAGGCAGCTGATCAATGATTCTCTCTTATCATTGATGTGTCTATCTCTCTCTCCCTCTCCCTACCTCTCTGAAATCAATAATATAATTATATAATAAAACTCACACCTTTAAAAAAATAATTATGACATGACATACACTGTATTCTTGTACTGATTTGAGTTGTAACACATTTTTTTATGTACTCTTTCAATTTTTAGTAGCAAATGTGTGTATAGGGCATCTTTAATACACCTGAGGCATATCTGAGAAAAAAATCAATTTTAAATAATTTAATACCTAAGTTGGAAATCAGAGAGACATTACATGACATTTAGGCCTGAAATAAAGCAAAATTCAATATATCAAAATTCTTGAGTATAACAAAATTATATATGGAAAATTTTAAATACTACTAAACTATTCTTGATGAACAAACTTTTCAATTCTAGAAACTAGCAATAAATTATGAATTGTATCCATATAGTCATCATAAGGAAATAATTATGATTTAAAATAGTGATTAAATATAAATAATTAAAAGCAATATAGTTGCCAAAAAATTTTTTTTAGATAAACTGAGAATTCTATCACTAACAAACCCCTGTCAAGTCTGATTAAGAAGAGTGGAAGTATTTGACTCTGTAGGACCTATTTTCGAAGGAAAACAAAATAATGTATCTAGTAAACAAGGCCTGGGCTTACCTGCTCACTCAAACCACAGCCATTGCCCTTGGCCACGCACAGGAAGAGGTAGAGCAAGGTAATAGCCTTTGTTTGTAATCAATTCTGTCTGAAGTGTATTAGACATTATTTTGTGACAAGTAATTGTGTTGAAAGATGGTGGCTTCTTTAATTGTCGCTCCCTGTATTTTGGAAGTCAGGGTTGGCCTTCAGAGCTGTGAGGCATCAACTCACTACTGGTTCTGCAGTTCTGTGTTGGGATAGCCAATCCCTAGAGACACCAAAGCATTCCCCTCCCTTCAAATAGCAGGATACTGGGCATGTGTTAGTGCAGCACTACTCAAAATGTGGTCTGCAGCTGGTGCCCTCCGGGAAACTTGCTACCTGGCTACAACAAAAGCAGCATGGAAATGGAGAGGACACTTACAGAATCTCTTAGAGACATTTTAGGTTGTAGAGATTCTTAATTTTTAAAATAGCCTTGTATTTTATATATCTTCTTTTCCCATTTCACTTATGCTATTCATTCATTTTGTTACATTTTTACTAAAACATTGGCTCACAATGAAATGCAAATTAAAAAACAAACAAACAACAACAAAATGGTCCTTCACCACACAGTTTGAAAAGCACCGCTTCAGTACATTCGATGACTTTTCTAGCAATATTTATCCTTACTTTTAAGAATCCAGTGGGAACAGCTGCCTAGCAACTACTAAGTGAAACAGCAGTTTCAAATCCAAACACGTTGACATTGTTAAAGTTTGTTTGGGGCTCCTTGAACTCCCTTTCCACTCCCAGTGACATTTCCCAGCCTTCATCCTCCGCACATACCTTCATTGCAACAACAAATAAGCTGCCTCAGGCACTGTGCAGGGCAAGGTTGATGGAGCCCTTGTCCCCACAGAGCTTGTACTTCAGAAGAGTTATGACCTCGCCTCCGCTACTGCTCTTAGGGTCTCATCCTTCACCTAGTTTCCAAAGCCTGCTCTTGGAAAAAGAAGCTGAGATTGATCTTATTGGTAAAGATAAAGACAGTGTTACTCTAGTCAAGGGTAGCTTATGCAAAATATTACTTCTAACTGTGGGATGAAAGGCTCAGGTGTTAGGTTAGTAAGGTTTAGGATGAGGTGGGGAGAGTGCCTTGGTCAAGAAAAATTACAGCAACGTGTAACACTGATTTATTTGGAGTAGGCCTAGAGTCACACCTTCTTCCCCAAAAATGTGTCTCCTGGCATTCCCCTCAAGCTCAAGGGCATGGACTTAACCTGGCATGGTCTATCCCCATCAGTTAATAGGTCAGTATTTGGCCTTTTCTCAGATCTATGAGGCCATGCCCTTAGAACACTTCAAAACTTCCACTATAGTGTCAAAAGCAGCAATCACAAAACGTATCATTTGATCCTTTTAATTGCAGGGGGAAGAAGTCATGTTTGTTCCCAATCATTGTCAGTTTCTTTCTCAATACCCCAGCATAATACCCCAATTCTCCTGGAAATATTCCCTCCAGGATAGCTTTGTTTTCTTGTGGCTAGTGAAGGACCTCTTAGCAAAGAAAATAAAGTGGATGACTAAGTGCAAAACATTCATTAAAGTGTCCTCCAAACATGGTTTATACGAAAAAATAAAATAAAAGATTTGGCTACAGAGAATGATTGCTATGTCAAGAATTTCATTTCAGGCAACGATTTTGTTATTAGAACAAGCCTCCGTTGTCTACACATTGGTTTTGTTCAGAAGATGTAATGCAAGATAAATAAAAGAGAACTTTGAATGCTGTTATCTGCCATGCCGTACTTCCATTGTAAGTACAGATAATAACAGTTTTCATATTTTTTTCATTTCCTTGGGCACCACATCTCCCTCCCATTGCACATGGTGCCCTTCACCCTGCGGCTGGCTGCTGTGGCCACTGCGGCTCAGGAGACCTGAACAAACAATCAAGCAGTTTGTCTCTTGGGAGAAGGAAATATGCTCTTATCTTTAAACTTAGTTTCTTGAACATCGTATAAAAAACAACTAAAGTGTTTCTTACAGTCCAAGATACCTCAAGAATGAGAGTCACTCAAAGTAGGGGCATCTTACACTGTGATTAATTCCATGAATGGATGATGACTATTTTTTTTTAAAGAGGAATTATAAGAGCAGCTAAGTTCATGCATGTGCACAGCACACAGCTGTCCCTAGCTAGAGGGCCTGGAGTTTGGTTTAACATAATGTCCCTGCACATCCACAAGGTAAATGTCACTTCTGCATTCAGATTACTGTCCTACAGGAAGTTAAGAAGTGAGGGATTTCTTGCTCTTGTTACATTATGGCCAAGCATTTTAAAATATGTCCCATCATTTAAAATGTAGAATTTTTCTGACAGAAGAAACTTTTCATGTGGCCAAATGCTATGGTAACATGTGTCCCAACTCAAAGGTGAGAAGACCACAAGTTGGTTATAACTTTGGTTGGATCTCTCAGGTATCTCAACTACAAAGAGGTTCAGCAACTCCTCCTGCTCCTCAGGGGTGTTGTATAAAGATACAAGGAGTAGATAGAGGGAAGTGCACTTTGAAAAACATGGTGTTATGTGTCAGTGGTTGTCAAAATGTAGCAGGCATCAGGATTTGTTCAAACACAGACTGCTGGGCTCTGCTGCCTGGGTTTCTGCCTCAGTGGGTACAGAGCATGACTGGATAATTTGCATTTCCAAGTTCCCGGGTGATGCTGATGCTGCAGTTGGGGTAGCACACTCTGAGAATAGCTGACATAAATTAATCGCTTGCTAACTACATGCAAGCTTCACTCTCACCCTTTCCTTCCACCCATCTCTGCCTCAAATAGAACATCTGGGTAGGTTTAGTTTTTATATCTTTACCAAGGTTGAGGTTATGGGTAATCTTTCATGTGAAAGAAGGTTTAAAATGATCAGCTTAATAAAGATATGTCAAAATGGTAAAGCCCAGAACTATACATCTTCCATATCTTAGTAAAGTGAAATGGAGTTTGTAAATTATCCGAGGACTTTGGTCAGATGGTAAATCTAAGCTAAATATTATGAGTTCAAAATCTGGAAATTTCACAGTTCTGCATTATTCATCTTTGTTGTCCTATATATGCTTAGAAAATTTCAAATTGTTCTATATAGGACTATTGAGGCACTAGATTTAAATCTGAAAGAATCTATAAGGAGAACAAGCTTTTAATATGGTCATATCATTGATATTGTAATGTAAATCAGTGTGCCAATTTTTAAAATATTCTTTATCCTTTTGGGGTTTTTTTAGGGGCATTAAAAGAATAAATGAGTTTGTGTTAAGCAACTGAAAGACATTATATAAATCAAACTTATGATCAATTCTTAATTATTATATTTCACGAAGGAAAATTTAATAATCAAATGCCTTCTTCCAAATTCGACCATTGATCAATATACATATAAAAGCAATGTTTATTTAAGCTGGGAAATGTATGGTGGGATTCTTTTTTAAGCAACTACTTAATTACTAATTTTAATTTGCTTAGATTAATATGAAAAATTAAAAATGAAGTGCGATTGCATTGAGGATATAGTTTTTAATACTACTTCCTATGCAAAGAAACCAGATCTTCTTGCAGAAATGGCTATTTCCATATTTGGGGCAATAAATGTATAAGATGAACCTGGGACATCTTATTATACCAGGAAAAGAGGACGCTTTCAAATGACTAATGAAACATGACATACAACACAGAAGCCAATTTATGGGGCTCACACTAGGCAAGCTTGGAGCAATTTGATCATCAGTAAGAATATTCACTGCAAGTAATTAACACACATTGTATATAAAATTTTTGTATATATAATAATTTAAAAATCACTTATTTATTTATTTTTTTAGATAGAGGGAGGAAGAGATGAAGAGAGAGAGAAAAGAGGTTTGTCATTCTATTAGGCAGGATAGATAGCTGCTAGGGTAGGATAAGGGGAAGGGAGGAAAAAAGAGGAGTTTATCTCACCCACTGAACAAAGGAATCAGCAATCTTGAAAAGTGGGGGTGAATGGGTGAGAAGATATTAACCAAGGAACTTATGTGCATAACCCAGTAGACATAGACAATAGTGTGGAGAAGGCCTGGGGCAAGGTGAGTGG